CCAAAGTACATGATAGTTCTAGAAACGTTGCGTCATAGTAGTAACGTGACTCGCTGACGCAACAGTACAAAAAATTTCTCACTGATTATTTGAGCCATTTCTATGATGTTATTTTTGCAGTACATTTGATTTCTCATAATAATTAAGAAATTTTCAATATGCGTCGCGATGCATTAAAATTTGCTGTGCAGAGCACTACTGCTCCGCGGAGCATGGGTTGGGAAACCATGGGATAGACTGTCACTTTATAACACCATCACAGCTGAAAGGGCCTATTTTCGGTGACAGGATATGATCCCGCGACGTACAACAACAACTGTGCCATGCCACATCCCTGTTGTTAGGCAAGTAAATATATTACAGTTAAACTGTTAGCAAAAAGTCCTTTTAAACGTAAAAAAAAGAAATAGTTAGGAATATACAGATATCCAGTTTTTCTGCATCCAGCTCTTTAATTTTAGTAAAGTGCTTAATATTATCATTCTTTTCGCTCTGTTTCCTGAAAACGTCTTAACTCTGTTTACAAGCCAATAATGTTCAACTATATTACATTATAGTTTCTGTACAGTGAAAAGAAAACGGTTAGTCACTTCAGTACAGATTAGTTTAAACAGCTGTGGAAATCTTTAGTCACACAGTGCAGGTGTCCATGGTCTCACACATACATTCAGCGTTACCAGGAAAACGCCATGTGTGAGTGTGTCTTGGAATAGAATTTGTATGAAATCTGTATGTTGTAATCAAAATTGTTGTGAATGCAATGTGCTATGTTGCTTAAAACATTTAAATATAAGATATCTACCTATCTCTATGCCAATGTTTATGGTGCAGTAAAAGTGTACAGTTTGATATGAAAGAACTTATTGCTATTCATATAGCTGGTACGATAAGACATGTATGATCGAGTTACCCATTTTTATTATTATTTATTCTCTTGTATCGTCAGATTTGTTTTCTGTACTATCTCCACTGTCTTGCTACCGATTCTGTAGCTAAAGAGCAACGTTTAGTAATAATGTACCTTAAACATAGACTACTCTTATAATTACGTCGTCAGAGCCGTTTAATGGACTTTTATTGGTCACAGAATGATGTTAGGGTGGGTTGTGTAGTCTTGTTTATACTGTTTAAGTTCTTCAACGAATATTAAATCTACTACATTGAACGAAGAAAACAACTAGTGTTTATGCGTCTCTATGATAAAAACAATTAATGTTCATGTGTTTCTAAGTAAGGTATTTCACATTATATAAAGAAAACAATTAATGTTTATGTGTTTCTAAGTAAGGTCTTTCACATTACATAAAGAAAACAATTAATGTTTATGTGTTTCTAAGTAAGGTCTTTCACATTACATATAGACATAAACATTAGTTGTTTTCTTCATGTAATGTGAAAGACTTGACTTAGAGACACATAAACATTAGTTGTTTTCTTCATTTAATGTGAAAGACTTGACTTAGAGACTCATAAACATTAGTTGTTTTAATTAAGAAAGAACTTGTATCGCTGAAGTTCCTCCGAAAGAATTTATACCGGAAATTAACAAACGAGCAGATACGTAACAATTAGATGGGCCTAAAAGCATCGACAAGACGGGTAGCACTGTAATAATAACTTCTGATAGAAGCAAGCTACCTACTTGCATTCTAACCCAAAAATTTTAATAAAAGTAATATTAAAAGAAGAATGTTTCTACTTTACTTAGAAACACATAAGTATTAGTTATTTTCTTCGTGGTAGACCTTAATTAGAGAAACATAAACATTAGTTGTTTTTATCATGTAATGTGAAATACGTTTGTTGTTATATGGCCCGGTATGGCCAGGTGGCTAAGAGCGTTTGCCTCGGAATTTGAGGGTCGCGGGTTCGAATCCCCCTTCCTATCAAATATGTTCGCCCTTTCAACCGTGGGAGCGTGATAATGTGACAGTCAATCCCACTATTCGTTGGCGGTGGGTGGTGATGACTAGTTGCCTTCCTTCTAGTCTTTCACGGCTAAATTAGCGACGGCTAGTTCAAATAACCCTCGTGTAGCTTTGCGCGAAATTCAAACCAATCATTTGTTTTTAATCATGTAATGTGAAAGACCTTACTTAGAGACACATAAACGTTAGTTGATTTTACCTTGTAATGTGAAAGACTTGACTTAGAGACAAAACTAGTTTATTCTTTCTTGATACAACTTTTTAGTACACAGAATTTCACTTTAAACTTAACAACCTTTATAACACACACATAGTGATTCACACACTTTACTTACGGTGCCCACTGTTCGCTTGACTCAATTATCTATCTCTTCAATCTATCTGCATATATATATTCCCGTATATATAGGTATGATGATGGGGCTATCGCTGGCTTTATTTGCCGGGCTTATATACTAAAAAAGAGGGCTCCTGGCAAACCCTCGGACCTTCGCAGGGTTCCTCGATAATTCATGATCCTTCTAGAAACTACAGCGCGCATGCTCCCAGAATCGCGTGACTTCCGCTGTCGTAACATTACCATGAAATAGGTACAAAGACATATTCTGACACACGATATGTAACATTTTACCACTATAGCTAATTTACGTATAAAAATAAGGAAATACAAAAGAAATGATTTATGTTTCTGATATCTTGTACAAACATGACTGAATGTTCCTGAAAATGGGTCCAGTCTTTGATGGGATGTGAAGAATTAGTCTGAACTATGGAAAGTAAACGGTTCAAAATATGCAAACAATTAATTGTGATATTTTAGACTCTTAAAGGTTATATTCTACCTTAATGTGAAAAACATACTAAATATATTACCGAATGAGCATTGGAATATATGGGACTATTTGTTTAATGTCAGACAGTCAAATGTAGCAAAGTGTGTGCCAGTGCAGATGCTCAACGTTGAACATAAATGTACATGACCCTGATAGTGACTTTACATAAATAAAGAACCTTCATTTATGTGATGTTTAGCATTTGTGTGATGTCGACTTAAACGGATCACGACAACATCAGTACAGGAATAGGTCTACATATCTCTGACGCTCAGAGATTCCAATCAAGATCTACTGATAATTTAGCATTGTTATCTGATCCACAAAGTGTTCTTTAAAAGATTTAGTAGCTACCTTCGGTGTTGTCTCATGCACGTAGTGTTATGTACTGTTTTTCTCATTCTTTAGTGTTATCATATGTTATGTTTTATAGCTATTCTCAGAGTGAATGCATTTTCTATTTTCATGTTCACACATCAAGTTCTTGATGACAGGCACAATGAAAATAAAGTGATTTCTTACCTGGGAATTTAGAATGAGGAATAACACATGATGAAAATGTAGAATGAGGAATAACACATGATGCTGTGACAATTTGTCTACACTTTAGATGCTGCCTCATAAGTTCTCGAAGACTGTCTCTGAGAAGAAAATGATTTCTTAAAGTTTCCCGCACTTTAGATGTTGTTACACAATATAACAACATAGAAATAAGTACAGTGTACTTCTGTAAACATTAAGAGTTGTTTCACAATATAACAACATAGAAATAAGTACAGTGTACTTCTGTAAACATTAAGAGTTGTTTCACAATATAACAACATAGAAATATATACAGTCTACTTCTGTAAACATTAAGAGTTGTTTCACAATATAACAACATAGAGACAAGTACGGTATACTTCTGTAAACATTAGGAGTTGTTTCACAATATAACAATATAGCAGAAGTACACTGTACTTATTTCTATGTTGTTATATTGTGAAACAACTCTTAATGTTTACAGAAGTACACTGTACTTATTTTAAACATTAAAAGTTGTTTCACAATATAACAACATAGAGACAAGTACGATATACTTCTGTAAGTATTAAGCACTGTTTCACAATATTACAACAAAGAAACAAGTTCAGTGTACATTTCAAGAAAGTCAGATAATACTTGTCAAGAATCTGTGGTAACACATGTCTAGAGTAACAAATAACAGCTACCAATAATTAATAATAACTCATATCAACAAACACGTATAATATGAGTCAATAATTAGTTTTAACACATGTCAAGAAACAATAATAATAATAAACATCTAAGAGCAATACGTGTCTATAAGGAGTAGTTAAACATCTAAAAGTAATACCTGTATATAAGGAGTAGTTAAACATCTAACAGTAATACATGTCTATAAGGAGTAGTTAAACATCTAAGAGTAATACATGTCTATAAGGAGTAGTTAAACATCCAAGAGTAATACATGCCTATAAGGAGTAGTTAAACATCTAACAGTAATACATGTCTATAAGGAGTAGTTAAACATCTAACAGTAATACATGTCTATAAGGAGTAGTCAAACATCTAAGAGTAATACATGTCTATAAGGGGTAGTTAAACATCCAAGAGTAATACATGCCTATAAGGAGTAGTTAAACATCTAACAGTAATAAATGTCTATAAGGAGTAGTTAAACATCTAAGAGTAATACATGTCTATAAGGAGTAGTTAAACATCCAAGAGTAATACATGCCTATAAGGAGTAGTCAAACATCTAACAGTAATACATGTCTATAAGGAGTAGTCAAACATCTAAGAGTAATACATGTCTATAAGGAGTAGTTAAACATCTAAAAGTAATACATGTCTATAAGGGGTAGTTAAACATCCAAGAGTAATACATGCCTATAAGGAGTAGTTAAACATCTAACAGTAATAAATGTCTATAAGGAGTAGTTAAACATCCAAGAGTAATACATGTCTATAAGGAGTAGTTAAACATCTAAAAGTAATACCTGTCTATAAGGAGTAGTTAAACATCCAAGAGTAATACATGTCTATATCACATGTCAAGAAACAACAAAAATACATGTCAAGAAATAGTATAGTGAAATCAATTGGCTGGTTTTAAGATATACCTTATAATGCATGAAAAATTATTATTGGATTACCTGTATTTATTTGTTTCACGAAATCCCTTAGCAAATGGATTACTTTCAATCTTTAATTTGCTTATCTGAAAAATGAAACAAATATATGTTACCATATTGTTACCGAAGGAACGGGATAGTTCCAGAAAGCAGGTGGCGTGACACCAATCACGTGACATCGCTGACGCAACAATATGTTACCATATTTTTTATTATAGCATTTAAAGGAACTAAAATATTCGTTACTGAATCAGGTTATCATGATTCAAACTTTAATAATTTAGTTTAACAGAGATTGATTTTTCTTTTCTGTTATAAAGATAAAATAAAAACTTTTAAACACTGGTTGATCTTCATTTTACAGTTTTACAGTTCAATTTAGAGAAGGATAGAATATTTAATGAATTAGAAATTTCATCATTTTGTAATTGCTTAGATACTTTGATACAGTTTATTTTCGACTTTAATAAGTATGCGGGGTATCTCCCCAAAAGTACTTTGATTTCATATGAGGGTTTTAAATGGATACCATTCTCGAAGTATGATTTTCCTACCTGTTTTGTTTGTAAACAAGTGGTATAAAAACTCTGTAAATGGTGTTTCTACCTGTTGGTTTTGTTTGTAAACAAGTGGTATAAAACTGTAAAATGGTGTTTCTACCTGTTGGTTTTGTTTGTAAACAAGTGGTATAAAAACTGTAAAATGGTATTTCTACCTGTTGGTTTTGTTTGTAAAGAAGTATAAAAACGCTGTAAAATGGTATTTCTACCTGTTGGTTTTGTTCTTAAACAAGTGATATAAAAATTCTGTAAATGGTGTTTCTACCTGTTGGTTTTGTTTGTAAACAAGTAATATAAAAACTCTGTAAAATGATATTTCTACCTGTTGGATTTGTTCGTAAACAAGTATAAAAACTCTGTAAAATGGTATCTCTACCTGTTCGTTTTGTTCGTAAACAAGTGATATAAAAACTCTGTAAAATGGTATTTCTACCTGTTGGTTTTGTTCGTAAACAAGTGGTATAAAAACTCTGTAAAATGGTATTTCTACCTGTTGGCTTTGTTCGTAAACAAGTGGTATAAAACTCTGTAAAATGGTATTTCTACCTGTTGGCTTTGCTTGTAAACAAGTGGTAAAACTCTGTAAAATGGTATTTCTACCTGTTGGTTTTGTTCAAGTGATATACAAACTCTGTAAAATG